CGAACAAATTTATTTGAGTCAAACAAAAAATCCGCCCTAGTACAGCATTACTTGCACGTAGTGATCGAGTAGCAAAACTGTTTGCTTAAAGTAACAGGGAAACGGCAAGACTTGTTGATGCGATCCTTCAGGATATGCCCAATCGAAACCAACAGGGCCAAAATACTAATAATAATACTGACCAATAAAAATATATAATTTTGTTACAAAGATTACTGGTTTATTGTTGAGAAGACATATAGGGGTTGATGTTGTTCCTTCTAGTTTGACCATTCGGATAGGGGGTGCTTTTGACTGACGGACTAGAACTAACCGGCCTAGCAACAGGCTCATTGCTCTTCACATCGTTCGACTCATCTTCTACTGATTCCAGGACATGGTAATTCATTTCAAAACACAGATTGTGTAAAATACAACAAGCTGTGATAATACCCACAATAACGCCGGTATCCTTGATGTATATATGTTTGCTGAGGAATCTCCAGCGAGAAACAAGTATACCAAAAGCTCTTTCAATGGCCATTCGAGTTGAAGAATGGATCATGTTGAACTTGCTTTGGGCCAAAGCATCATCACATGTTCGAAGGACTTCCGTAGCAGGAAAAGGCACAATTATAGGGTGCGATAGTGGGTATGCTGAGTCTAAAACATATTTAGTTTTTTTCGAAGATTTTATTCACGCTTATATATTTTATCTACAAGGATATACCCATTAAAAGGAAAGTATTCTTGGGGGTTTTCCAGGGCAACTGTTGCTATCTCACTGAGGCTAAAAGCAGCAGCATCGTGTAAACGGCCTATGTCAAAACGATCAACATCATTGCATACAATCGGACAAATAAATTATTACCTGAATGACCAACCGAAATGCAAGTAAAGTTACTCTTATCATCACATACTACCGTAGGTTTCATGGAAATGTTTCCCTTGAGATCTTTACAATCTTCGGCATGTTCCATTCTTGATTCAATTACAAAGTTCTTGCCGTCCAAAGCTCCAACAGCTGGTAGACCCCGAACAGTGCGGCCTTGACCATACTCGAAACCATGTTTAATTGCAGCGACACACTGCTGGTCCTTGCGCCATTCGATCAGATGCTTGAATTTGTTAACAACGGCTTTTACAAAACGTTGTGTAAAGTTTCTGTAACCACCGTGAGAGACTCCTATAGTCAGGTGGGCGCAGCGATAGCCAACGTGACAGTTAGCTAAGCGCCGAATTGCACATAAAATCTGGACGAATGGAAGGATACAATTTACAGTTCTGGACTGAAAAGCGGAATCTCTGCATAGTTTGTTTACAACCCTTTCGAACGTAGTGCGGTTCATACGGTACATGGCGCGATAGCTGGTTCGTGGATTGTCGTCATCAGTCAAAAAAGGGTGAGAGATGCGGAAGTAATGGTAGTTGGCGAATGAGAAGCGATTGATGACCGGCTCAGTTGGATATGTTAAACGAGCTTGAATAAGAAAAGGCGCCAACTCAAAGTGAGAGGGCGAATCTAAAAACGTGGTCTTGTAATAAAGAAACACGTGTTCGTTCAATGCCATTTGACTCTCAATAAGCTGCTGGTATTCAGCGAGAACTAAGTTGCCAAGGTTGCAAATACCTTGGTAGTAGTAATATAATTTATTGTTGTAAGACATTTTTATGAAAAGAATTCCCACACAAAATGAGTGATGTGATTTTAGTACTTTTTCGAGTTAAAATGATATTTTAATGTCAGAAAACATTTTTTAAAATTTGACCCCTCCATAGTGGTGGGGTCAAATATTTTTAATGAAAATCAAGATTTTAAAATTTTAAATAATTTGCTTGAGAACGCCCTATATATAGCTAATGTCGTACTTATAATTCATATCACCTCCGCTCACCTATAAAAAAGAATCAATATTTAAATCAAGTAAAGTCATCTACATTTATTTTATATACTAAAATATTATAACAACTATCACGACACTAAGGGCCCTCACAAGCAACAAAAAAAATTTTTAAAGATCCCTAATAAGGACTAAATTATTTTTTTTGTAAAAGATTACTTCAGACTTCTAAAAGAAAGCTTTTTCCAAAATCCATGACGTTGCTTTTCAATGACCCTTTTTGAACGGTTAAAAAATAAAGTACAATCAAAATGCTAACCTATCTGTTATTATTTTTCTCGAACTTTTTTTTTCGCCCTTTTTCCTACATACTTTTTATTTTTAGAAAAACCAAAATGAACCCATCCCAAATTGTTACTGTAATTGCTGAATTGCAACAAGTTTTATTTAGACTCGACGGAGAAGCTGAGAGTATGGACGACGATATCCAAATGATTAAGGAATTAGACAATACTGCACTTTACCGACAACAACGTCTCCAGTACAGTTTTATTGCAAACGATTACCGCAACCAATACGGTGTTGCAATTACCAGTTTGCCAATTTTTGTTTCGGGTGAATATGTTAAAAGAAATAGAACAGTTATCGACGCCGACGGTAGAAGATGAGAAATTCTAGTGATAAAGCAACGAATTAAGAATAAAAATAAAGAAATTTGACGAAGTAAAATTATCAAACTGCAAAAATAAACTAAAGTCTTTATTATACAATAAATTGGGTTCTTTATATGCATATTCAGGGCTGGCTGAATATCAATCATTAAAGTGAAACCTGTCAAATATACAATAGGCGTATTGTCGATTAAAGATTGAGCATCTCATGGTACCTTCGAGAATCTTGTTATTGACGAGCGATCAGATCATTGGATTGTATTATCTGGAATAAATGTATGACTATTGTTTTCTATATATTGATGAGTAATCAATGCGTAGTAAATAGAGTGTAATATCATGTATTTGATTTAAAGAGTAATGCAATAATGATTTATAGAAAAGTTATCAAATAAGAAAGAAAGAATTAATGATAGAGTTATATCTGTATATAAGATCGATCACAACAGAAGAGAAACTCGTAGATATCACTTCTGGAGTTTGGAACACCCTTTCCTCAATGACGATGACGAAAATCAAGTAAATAGTTATCGTGCAACTTACCAAATGGGCAAAGACGCTTTTACATTTTGGTGAATGAATTGTCCGACCACGAAGAGTTTAATTTTGTTGCTCCCAATGCTATTCCTGTCTACATTCAGGTCGCAACGGCCTTATTTCGTTTGGACAATTGCCATGTCGAATACCATCAAGCGTACATGCTTTTAGGTGTTTTCTATGGTAGTTATAATAACTTCACCAGAAGGACACTTAAGGCAATCAAGGGAAGACTTGGTCACTTGTTGGCTTGGCCCACTGATCTATCAGTGGTATGGGCATACACACGGTCCATATGTGCCACATCAACAGCCCTACACTCGTTGGCAATTTCACGGTCTCGTGCTCTTTCCTCTCGGTTTTGGTCTTCCAAAGCCTCCAAATGACAAGCCATGAACCATGTCGAGGCATTGACGTAACGAGAACGTTGGGTAGATCTTCTACCTTCTTCTTCTTGATCATCATCATCATCAACACCGGCACGACCTCGTCTTCCAGCAGGAAAATTATCTCGGCTATCCACAGTTTCTCCTGAATGGGAACTGTACCAAACAGGTGGATTCATCGTTGGAATTCTTGATGTTAAGTGCTACATCAAATCGTGAAATTCCGAATGGGAAAGAGGAGCACTTCCAATAGCGTTGGCAGCTACTCTTTTGGTTCGAAATGTACTGCAAAGGTTTTTCCACCTGGTCGTCATGGCTGCAATGTCTCTGCTACCGTTGATAGAGCCATTGGCATTGAACGCATCCTCTGTTGCTTTGGTCAGATTTAACTTTGCTTGAGATAAACGAGTAACACCGACTTTTACAATGTACTCAGGGAACAACTCGATCAAAACATGTGTGCTCGCAGAATCTCAATTGAGGTTGGTGTTGACCTGAGAAGAAGGCTCATCAACAGGATTACTCTCAGTAGAAGAAGCAGAAGATGAAGGCTCAGAAGAACCGGCTGAACTAGGTCCAGAAGAAGTGGATGGCATTGATCCAGTTGCAGTAACGGATCCAGTGGATGCAAAAGAATGGGCAGTGGGAACAGATCCATTAGTATGAACAGGTCCAGAAGAAGAAGTGGTTTCAACAAAGGGTTCGTTTGCAGATCCAGATGGTACAGCAGAAGGACCAGCAGAAGGAGCAACAGAAGGCTCGGTTGAAGGCTCAGTTGAAGGCTCAGTTTAAGGAGCAGCAGGAGCAGCAGGAGCAGATACATTTACTCTAGGTCTTCCTCTTACAGCAGGAGTGGTAGGGTTGTAGCCATTGACGAAGTTAATGCTGGTGTAGTTATAGAAAGGCATTTTGTTTTTTAGATAAATGGGATAATAAAATTGTTGAAGAAAAATGAAGATGATCACAAAAAAACACCTTTATCAAAACAAAAAACAACAATAAAAACAAAAACATTTGTGAGTTCAGTAGCCCAATTTGGCTGATTTTTCATCTGATTGAAGGATTCTGGGGTCGTTGGATTTTAATCCTTTATTGGGATATTTCGAGAATTTTGGCACTGAAGAAAATTTGATGTTATTGCTAATCGTTTATTTATATCCATTTCATCGATTTGGCAAAATTGTAACCTTTCACAAAAAAAAAAAAAAGTCCTAAATCGGGATCTTTAAAAAAATAATTTTGTTGCTTGTGAGGGCCCTAAGTTTAACACTTCTATCAGACCCGACACAGATAAGCATTACATTATTTTCATAAATTATTTGCACATTCTAGGAAAAAAATTGCTCACTTTTTTTCTGTTTCCGCACACCTTTTTATTTTTTTTGCTCACTTTTTGGAAAACAAATTGCTCACTTTAACTTTTACATTTCGCGCAAATTTCGAAAATAAATATCACCAATGGACCTTCGTATTTTTCAGGAAGATGGACATGGACGCTGTAGATGAGCATGGAAATGAATCGGTTGAAATGGAAGTAAACGTGGACGGTTACCCACTCGCTGACACTGTTGACTTCGATAGCTACATTTAATTATACCACCTGAAAAACCCGAGACCTCAATTAAAACTGAGAAGATGTTTTCTACTGCTGCATCAAGACCAGTTTCTTATTACAAGAAACATGGATACAATGTTAAGGGTCATTATTTCTACCTTGTTTATGTAGAAGGTCTAACTGCGGGTAAAGCAGAAAAGCAGCTAGGTATTGCCCGTAGAACCGCCTACGACTGGTTGAAAAAAGACCAAGATTTGATTGTTGAAACGCGGGATAAATTGGAGACCAAAAAACCCGAAAAGAAAGTTGGTAGACCTGCTTTGTTGAATGAAGAGCATAAAAAGTTTGGAAGAAACGTTCATCGATCACCCTTCTGCAACTTTGGATCAGGCAATAGTAAGTCTTGCCAGCCAGTGTAGTGGATTAAAAGTAACCAAGACAACTGTTTACAACTTCATGGCAAAGCAGTGTGCCTTGTCATTTAAAAAAGCACACTTTCATTCAAAAGAAAGAAACTCGCCCGTAAGCATTGAGAAAAGATTTGACTGGTTTACAAGATGGATTCAAACCGACATGGATTACAATAGTAATTGTGTTTTCATCGACGAGTCCGCCTTTCAGATCATTTTGAAGCGAACAATGGCTTGGTCCAAAAAAGGCACTCGAGCTGAGGTTATCCAACCACTGACACGAGCGAAGACTACGACAAATTTGGGTGCTATATCCCCGTATGGCATTGTCAATGTTAAGATAAAGGTACTTTATTCAGCAGCTTTTAAGAAACGAAAGACGGTTGGTGGTAGTAAAATGCAGCAAAGTATTGGTACTGTTACGGGACATTACTTCAATTTTATTGCCAGCACTATCGATGTGATGGATCGTCATAAGGAATTCAAAGGGCATTACATTATCATAGATAATGCGCCTATACATACATCCGATTATATTAAAAAGTTTATCAAAAGTCGTGGGTATAGGTGTGTGTATCTACCACCTTACTCCCTTGAACTAAACCCTATTGAGCAGTTTTGGTCTGTTGTTACGAGTAAATTGAAACCTAAAAAATTGTTGGAGGCCGAAACTTTGAACACCAGAATCACTGAAGCATGCCAAAATGTCTTAATAAGCGACTTCAAAGGCTTTTGCCGGTATTCTGAGTCCAAGTTCGAAACTTGTTTAAATAAAAATCCCCTCTAAAATAATTCGCACACACTGTGCAAAAAAGATTCCTGGATGTGAGCATTTTTTTTTTCAAAAAGTGAGCAAAAACAAAAAAATAAAAAAGTGTGCGGAAATTCAAAAAAAGCGAACAATTTTTTTCTTAGAGTGTGGGAATAATATATGAAAATAGTGTATTTGTCGGGGTCTGATCTTGATATGTGCGTAATGAAATAGAAAAGTAGAGTAGAAGATAAAAGATGATCTTTATTGTTTTGTACTCTGACATATTCTCACACAAAAAAAAGAGAGCAAAAGTGGGGTCTTCCGGGGTTTGAACCCGGGGCCTCTCGCACCCAAAGCGAGAATGATACCACTTCACCAAAAACCCAACGTTATAGTAGTCAAGCCTGTAAATGTCAATGGATCTGATGCCTCAGAGAATCACGTGACTAGCCGGGTTAGTCCGACCCGAAGTCCGGACCTTGACGTAGACATGCCTCTAGAAATCGAACTTAGGCTTAAGAAGACCAAGAACCAGAAAAGAAGATTTGTACCAGTCAAGAATAATCACATGAATAGGAAAAGGCCCAAATCGAATAACACCACTTAAATGTATATACATAACGCCACTTCGGGTTCACCTATTTCACATCAACAACCGGTTTATATTACTCATCATCATTGCTATTATTACTATTATTACCATCATCATACCTTATTATTATATTTATCACATCACCTATATCTTTACATTTAGTATATATTTCCCTTAACATTAGAACAATAAACCATTATCTTCTATTTAGTATTAAATACTTATTTACCTATTTCCCCTTCTAATTAACCACTGAGAGTTGAATTAGAACTATATTGAAACTTACATAGTTTGTCGGTTTTGAAGATCCACAGGTCTTACCGAATAGATCGCGTAAGTTACATACGCGTCCTACTTTCAAACCAGTAACGCCAGCGCGTTATAAAAGACAGCGGCTACTAAATCTCGTCCTTGGTCCGGCTCGGCTCTATTAAATAGTACAGTATAAATATCAGAAGCGCATCAATAAATAAAATCATCTTTCGTCTTACTTAAATACGACTGTACTCATAGTTGTATCTTCCTGCTCTAT